CCGCGGATGTGCCTCCACAATCGATTTTGGATAAAATACGCATATTATTCGCGTATCGATATATTTTTGACCTATTTTCACACAGATTCGCGAATATGATAATACAAGAATGAATGTATGTGAAATCAATTCGAAGAAAAACGCGATTATATACGCGAATTTGTCAAAATAAGTTTTTGCAGTTTTTCCCACATTCAAGGTACCTATATCCGCCGTTTTATTGGGCGGAATTGAACATGGATGGGTTTATTAGATCCGGCACGTAAAAAAACTAAAATCACGCGGGGTTCCACGGAATTTAAATGGACTTTCTTAATTTTAGACTCAAAAAATATATTTTTCATAAAAATTTCCGCACCAAATGTTTGTCTTTGGAACCCAATTGCAAAGAAGCTACGGTGAGCACATTCATGAGATATACACTAAACGAAGCAAAATCACAAGTTCTACAATACTATAATTATTTTAGTCCATTATCTGGATGCGCATCCTAATTATAAGAAAAATTCAAAAAAACACCGAAAATCCGGCTTCAAAATGTCAGCATCCTTTTTGGGTGGAGGCAGTGATTATATCGAAAAATCATACATTAGAACCATATTGTCCATGGGGTATTCTGCAACTTAGTCACTGATCACATGTGCGAGCGTTGTGTAGTTTAGCCACAAATCAGGAAGGGACACAAAAAAACTCGTTGGCTTCAACACATTTTCACCCATTTTTTACATTACCACCATAACAGCTTCCACGCAACTCATTATTTATTACCAATATTTTAAGATTTTGACAAGGACACTTGATTTTATAGAAATGAATTTAAATTATATGCAATATGTTCATATTTCGCGAGTTATAACCTTGCAAACCTCAGCTTCAAGGAATTTAAAATATTTTTGTAATTTCCCATATATAACCGATTTTCAGAGATGTTCATCATAGTTTGGGGAGCATGGGAAATGACAACATTATTTGAATTTTATCTGTATTTAAATATAAGAACATAGTATAAATTTTTTTCTATATTATTATTGTTTGAAATTTTACGAAATTATAAAGTAACATTGAGACCACGATGCCATTTCCAATATAATGAATATTAGGAGAAATATTACAAGCCTATGTAGAGCTTATATCATTAAGATACACAATTTGCATAAAACTAATTTAACTAGAATTCGAAATTATAGCTTGTTTCTATTACATAGCATTATCTAGCGCTTGCTTAAGTCGTTTGACTAATTTGTATGGTTATGATAAGTAGGGATCATCAAATCATAGACACAAAAAGACAAAATTCAAAATTTAATCAAACATACTTCAAATCTATCTGTTATTATACATATTAACAAAAGCATCTATGTATGTATTTATATGACACATGTTTATTTAGATCTATGCTAATTAAAACAAGTTTCGATGAATGAATGAATTAACCACATTAGTTTGAATATGTTGAGCCTCCATAAGTTTTTATGCCTCTATACCAAATATGTACTAAAGCTCGTCAAAACATGTGGTCTCGTGCTGATCACTTTGACCTTTTATATTTAAATATAAATATATAAACGGGTTTATGATAATCCCATTGTCAATTTGTGCTCCAAAATTTGGCATATTAATATTTGAGGCATTCACAATTCACACCTATGATTTTTGTTGTTGTTGTTCATTGACTTGAATTCATCATTTAATCAAATTTAATTTGTATGCAGTGTTGTTGTTGCTGCTATAGTTAATAATGCTATTGTGCAATGATATCTGAATGACTAAAAAATATGTTGGTGATCTGGTTAATGGTTCATGGAAGAGGAAAATAGATCTGTACAAAAATCGTATAATGGGTTGAAAGTGAAAATATATTAATAGCTATAATAGGACTCAGGAGAATTGACTTATGCATCATGGTGCACATTTAATTTTTCACATCGCTAACTATTATAAGTTAGATTTATGTTTATTAATATAGAATGTGGGACAATATTTCGAATGCGTATTGAGGGTTCGAATCCTGAACAGTTCGTTGCCATATTTTAGGTTATGGTTTAACCTGTCAGAAATGCTGTCGAAATGGTTAAATATCAAATCGTCTCTAGAAATGACGGAACACTAACATTTAAGGATAATAAAAATGAGGTCCCATATCAGTGAACCGCCAGACTGGCAAATTGAGATGCAATAAATTGAAGACGTGTAATTTTGTGTATAAGCACTTGAAGAATCAAAGAATAATATAATGAATTATTGAAATTTTGTTGTTGTTGTTTCGAAGTGACCCAGAAAAACCAAAGGTATTTTCGTGGTCCAGGGACTCCAACTAATCAGAATTGGTACATTAGAACCCCTGAATAATTTTCGTGTAGCACAGTGTAATTATTCTAGATCAAAACAGAACCAGACATGTACTCTTTTGAATGCCGTTGGAATTTTTGGAATCTGCCGTTTCATTGATCGGAAATCATATCCGCCGTCGAAATATATACCTTGTTTGAAAGGAAGAATTCTACTCTTCGAAACAAAAAAGAATAATATAAACCCGTTATAAAGTAAATAAGTTAATCGCGTTTCAAATTTAAAATTTATGAGATTACGTTTTTCTCTACATTTACTATTATAAAATTAAAAACAAAAGGTATTTTCTTGGTCCAGGGACTCCAACTAATCAGAATTGGTACATTAGAACCCCTGAATAAATTTTTTGTGTTGTTTTGTAGCACAGTGTTATTATTGCACAAAATTAAAAAAAATGGCGAACATGTGAAAATTAATTTGGGGAAAATTCTTATTATCGACCACAAACCGAGTTAGAAAATAAGGAAGATCTTTACCGAGTGCGTTTATCCTAATGTGTAATGTGGACCAGTATGTGTGGGTAATGTGAATTAGTAAGATAAAGGTAGGTTGTGGATTGGTTGTGATAAATTTCAATTCACTGCAATCATGAGTAACAATGAATGAAAAAAAAAAAATTGTTCGTGTTTTGGAATAGCCCCATTTAAGGATACCCCATTATCTAACCGAAGCAGCTGTAATTTCACATATCGAGTTTTGAGAGGATAGAATATCTCCTCACACATTAAATGCGCCCATGCTTCGAACTCGTCCCAGAGGTCCCACTTTTTTATAGTGGTCCACATTAACCGACATTGAATATTTTTATTTAAAAATAAGTATTGCCTTCAAAATAAAAATTAAAAGTCACCGATTGTAATTACAGCTAAACTTATATATTAGTTAAAGAAAACAAGAAAACCACATAACTTCCTTATATTCGAGAAAAACAAAGTGTTCGACTATTGAGCTAAAAAAATGTTCAAATCACACTTCTACAATCAGAGCTTAACCACATTTTCAACATTGCAATTATATATTCAAAACTAAGTTTGATGTTTGTTTTCACTAATTAGGATAATAATTATCGGCGTTGACATAATTCAAGCATTTTCTTAGATATGGGGGTGATCCACATCAGACGCATAGTCAACATTACCCGAAGTTACTCTATATCTTAAAGAGTTGTTGAGATTTTCAATTGAAATGTTTAGGGGGATATTCTTGAATTAGTGTAGGTTTGAATTAAATATAAATAATTCAAATTAATGAAATGGGGGCAAGAATGGGGCAGAATCACAATTTTTGTAGTAGGTGTTGGCAATTTTTATGCGTTTCGTCAATACTCTTGAACCCACGAAATGGATAATCCTTTTGAATATTATATATCTGTCAATTTATTGGAATGTTTGGCCTTATCTAGCATAGACCTTCTGAGTACGGTCTTGTGTGGTGTTCTTTACAGTGACACAAAATTGAATTAACTTGTGAACATTTTCGTGAGATAATTTTTTACAATATTCGATGAGCTCAAAGATTTGTATTGCGATTTATGAAATGAAAATTTATGAAATGAATTTAGTCGCATTTAGGCGATGACGCCGTACCTTATTTTTTTTACATTTCTTCCGCTAAAAAAAATTTGTTCTCCTTGGATCCCGTGTCGATTAAAATATTGATAAAATGTTAAAAATCTATATGGGAATATGATTGTGAGGTCGAAACAAAACAGTAATTGTCCGTGTGAACCTTTGAAGACGAGCCAAATCCAAGAAAGTTTTCCGTGTAAGAAGAATTGGTTTGCCTCAAGTCTTCGGAGAAATTTAAAAAAAAAAAAACGGAAGAAATAATAAAAATCATTGTGCACCTAGATAATGTGAGCGCTCAAACATGGGCTCATACCAACGCATTTTTACCGGCCAAAATGTGAAATTCGCCGTAGAGACCTACCTTCGAAACCAAAGAAACTGTTTTTTTATTGGCCATCTCTGGTTTCGACAGTAGGTTTTAGAAATTTCGCTGGATAATTTTTTGGAAGAGAGTAAATAATATATATATATATATTTTTTTTTGTGTATTTTTGTCGAATTGCCTTAATCCAATCGATTCATAATTGTATATGTAGTCCACTCTAATTTCATATCTAGGTTTAGCTCTCAATATATAACGGTAAAATACAGCTTGACTTATATTGGAGATTTCAAGTTCTGCTCACGGTGCAGTGCCGTCAATCGTATATTCCTTCGCATTTTTTCGTTTTGGTTTTCCTATGATGTCCTTATGTATATAGTCTGCACATGACTATTCTAAGTAAACAAATGAAAACTAATATTAGCCAATTTTTTTCCCACACATTTCCATATATCTTGTTAATACTCAAACACTATATTCAATAAATGTGGCAGACAAATATTCCATTTATTTAACATCAATGTCGGATGCCGACATATTCGGCAGATGATATACATAATATTTTAACAACGAAGAATAGCCAATGAGCTGCGATACCAGTTTAATAAGTTTCAAATTAATGTTCGAGGTCATCTACTCGCTTCTCAATTCGTGAGTTTTTGGAACATCTGCTAAAACAAAGTAGGGAAACAAATAACTTAACGCAGAGTATAAAAACTAAAATCGATGCCACTGAGAATCATAACACATTCAACCATTGATCTGATCAAGACATTGAACAACCAACTCAATAAATCAAAATGAAATTCATCATTGTATTCGTTGCCCTCTTCGCCGTTGCTTTGGCCGCTCCTCGCCCAGAAGCTGAAATCCTCAAGTACGAATCTGATGTTCAACCCGAAGGATTCCAATATGCGTAAGTATTTGAGTTGCAATGCAAAATTTCAAAATTTTTACGATGTGAGCATGGATAACCGAAACTTACCTTACAATTTTATTCGTTTGCTTACAGTTTTGCCACTAGCGATGGTGTCGAAGCCGAAGCTCAAGGTCAATTGAAGAACGTTGGTACCGAAGAAGAAGCTATTGTCGTCAAGGGTTCCTACTCCTTCGTTGCTGATGATGGTGTCACCTACACTGTCAACTATGTTGCCGATGAAAACGGTTTCCAACCCCAAGGTGCTCATTTGCCCGTTGCCCCTGAAGCTTAAGTTGTTGTTACAATGATTTTGTTTTAATTTTTAAGTAATAAATTTTTTTTTGGATGAACTGAAAATAGTTTTTGATTTATATATACGGGGCTACGGGAAAAAATAAGTATTTAATATAATCAAGTGAAAAAACATTAAGTTCGGCCAAACTTTTGATACCCTCCACCAAAGGTATACTAACAGATACTTTGCAACTAGGGAACATATCCAAAAGTGGACCTATACCGATAATTCTACAAACCCATTTATGTACACCAAATACAAATTTCAGCAAATTTTAATGGATATTTTTCCTGTAAACCCCAAAAATTGGGGGATATTGACGACGCACGGCCATTACCAACGTACTCAGGTTCTATTTCAGAAGTGGAAGCTGCTGGTTCAATATGAAAGTTTTGATTGCAGAAAAAATGTATATGAGTACGTCCCTGGAGGCGATACCTAAAGCGGGACCAGTATTGATTACATCGTGTAGGAAATACAGCGCTTTTGTAGTTATCATTATATGAGGTGCTATGCCTAATTGAGATCTGATGCAGTAAAATTTCAATTTGCATCACAGTAACTTCATTTACGCTAACTATTGAAAATAGCGAAAATCGGTAGGTTATCATTATATGGGGACTACACCTAACTGCGGCCCGATATAGTTCATTCTGGAACCTCACGTTCTAGTTTTTAATCTCGATATCCCCTGTATGTAGAATGATTACAACAAAGTCTAAGAACCAAACCCAAAACGCGGAACACATCAGATAACTATTTTAATATAAAATTAATAATATTTTTTTTTTAATAGTTAATTTTAATTATAAAATTAATAATAAATTTTGTTACCATATACGACTACAAAAAAACCAAATTACATAGAATTTGGTTGAAAACGCGTTGAAGAACCTCAGAATTACGAAAATTTGGGGGTACCATTATATGTGGGCTACACGAAAAATTTGAGCTATATTTATACTTTTTAGTGGGGAGATTTGGTACTCAATAAGAACTCAATGTACCAAATTACAGCCAATTCGGTCGAAAAATGCGACTATCCGAAAAATTGACCTATATTTAAAATTTTTAGTGGGGAGTTTTCTATCCAATAAGAACTCAAAGTACCAAATTTCAGCGAATTCGGTTGAAAACCCTCTCCCTTAAATGGAGTACCAAACTCCCGAGGTTTGCCCGAGAGAGAGAGAGAGAGAGAAACCGAGATCCTATAGGCGTTGATTTTCTAAAAAATATTTTCTAAAGGGGTGTTTTTTTAACGAATAATTTCTAAAGAAAGGAATTCACTTTTTAAGAATATTTTCTAAAGAAATGCGTAAAATTTTTAAAGAATATTTTCTAAAGTTGAAAAGGTCTATCCTAGGCGTGGCTTTTATTAATAGATACTTGAAAAGGTCTATCCTAGCCGTGGCTTTTCTAAATTGAGACTTGTAAAGGTCTATCCTATGCGTGGATTTTTCAAATGGATACTTGTAAAGGTCTATCCCAGGTGCGGTTTTTAAATTGATATTTGTAAAGGTCTATTCTAGGCGTGGATTTTTAAAAAAATATTTTCTAATGTTGAAAAGGTCTTCCTAGGCGGGGATTTTTCAAATGGATACTTGTAAAGGTCTATCCTCAATTTTAAAGATTTTCAATGGGCTGGTAAATGAATATCAGGTCATGTTAAGGTTTGTAACATTGCACATATATATTTGAAGATTTAAAAGAGGCGTGATAACTCCTTACTGGAACATCGGAATCCGAAAATTCCAACGGTGTTAGAAAGAGTACATGTCTGGCTCTCGTATGATCCTATAGACGTTGATTTTCTAAAAAATATTTGTTAAAGGTGTGTTTTTTAACGAACAATTCCGAAAGAACGGCGTGGATTTTTTAAAGAATATTTTCTAAAAAAGGCGTGGACTTTTTTAAGGATATTTTCTAAAAAAAGGCGTGAACTTTTTAAAAAATATTTTCTAACAAAGGCGTGAACTTTTTAAAGAATATTTTCTAAAAAAAAGTGAACTTTTTAAAGAATATTTTTTGAAGAAAGGCGTGGGATTTTTAAATGGATATTGTAAAGGTCTATCCTAGGACTATCTGCGATTTTAAAATTTAAAGATTTTCAATGGGCTGGTAAATGAATATCGGGTCATGTTAAGGTTTGTAGTTTGTTTGCACATATATATTTGAAGATTTAAAAGAAAAACAATTTACAAAATTTGTTTGTTATTGTTTTGTTGTTGTTTTTTTTATTAATGGCTAGTTAATATTTTAGATGGCGCGCATGATAACTCCTCACTGGAACATCGGAATCCGAAAATTCCAGCGGTATTAGAAAGTGTACATGTCTGGCTCTCGTTTGACTTATTGACTTCGCTCAAAAATTAACAAAATGGCGGAGGTTTAAAAGATGTTTTTTGAAAAATCGCCTATTTTTGACCACATACTAAGGAATTACGAATGTTGTTAATTTACGACAGGCCATTTTTAAATAAGGGACTAATACATTGATCGACACGATCACTGCTAGTAATTGGCAGAAATTTGTAAATCTTGGAGCTCTGGGACCATTTAAAATATACCATTTAAATATGCTTAAGTTTATGCTTAGTCCACATTGATAATAATGATCAGACTCCAATTGAGAAACGCTGTAAAATGTTAGAATTATTAACATCCATACCCGTTTTATTGTCCATAACATTGCCAGAGTCTAGACAAAACTTCCTTATGTACATTTTTCTATATATATGTATGAATATATAACATAAACCTTCCTGGAATCGATTTATATGCTAATTAAAACAAATTTCAATAAAACACGTCTAGCATCTAGCCACAATATTGTGAATATGTCACGTCTAATGGAAACACATAGTCTCGTGTTGATCACTTTGACCTTTTTGGTGTTTCTCTTTTCTTCATTCGAACTGGTTTATCAATCACTTTGTCAAATTCTGCTCCAAAAATTTGGCATCATCATTTTAAATTCGGTTCAAATTAACACCTACGATTTGTTGTTATTATATTATAATTTATATTCAATCAAATTCATTCAAATACTTTGTTGTTGATGTCTCAACGTATTGTATGAAGAACAGATTATCGATTATGCAAAGAAGTCACTGGACTTCTAAACGAATTTAAAATTATTATGATCGACATCAATATCTTATGGTATATCGTCTACACACAATAACTTTGCATACAATGATTTGACGAATTTAATGATAAGAAATTAGTTTTTCATAATTTTTGTGAATTAATTCCTTTAGGTTAATTTTGTGAATTAATTAACCTAAAGGAACGATTCGATTTCGAAAGCCTTTATTGAAGAAGCCCGGAATATTGAAATTTATTGAAATTTATTATATCAAATCGATTGTTTGAGTAGTACAGAACATATTTTATCAAAAATATAGCAGTCACAACAGAATGAACAGAGATAAGAGCCTATGTTGACCAGTAAAAGTTTCTGGCAGCAGCATTTACCTAAAGAAACATCTTTGTAGGTAGATAGCAAAAAATGAAAAAAAAAACAAATGAAAAAGCGTTAAGTTCGGCCGGGCCGAACTTTGGATACCCACCACCATAGATATACTGACAGGTTCTTGAAATGAACGTATAGGGAAAATACCAAAAAGTGGACATATACCGATGTTTCTACAAACCCATTATGTAAACCATAATAAAAATTTCAGAAATTTCTAAGTGAGAAATTATAACCTCAGTCTTATGGCTAATGGCTAATTTTCACCGTGTCAAAGTGTATACACCCTATACATTGATACGGTGAAAATGTGCCTCATCGAAATATTGGTTCTAGACCTCATGTTTCTTTGGAACAAATCCGTTTCAGAAAATTTTGATTTCATTGGAACTTTGCCCTTCTTATTATTTCATCCAAACTTAGTTCAAGTTCGGAGATGGGGAATATCGGTCCACTCCTTCTGGTACATCCCACACAGGGGCTAGGCCTAATTGCAGGTTATAGTTCATTTTCGAACCTTACCATATACGACTACAAAATACCAAATTGCAGCGAATTCGGCAGAAAACGCGCCCAAGAACCCTAAAATACCGAAAATTGGGGGTACCCTTATATGGGGGCTATCCGAAAAAATTGACCTATATTTATAATTTTTTTGTGGAGAGATTTGCTACCCAAAATGAATTCGAAGTACTAAATTACAGCCAATTCGGCCGAAAAATACGATCAGAACCCCCAAAATACCGAAAATTGGGGGGTACCGTTATATGGGGACTACCAGGAAAAGTGGACCTATATTTATAATTTTTGCGGAGTAATTTGGTATCCAATAAAAGCTCAATGTACAAAATTTCAGCGAGTTCATTCACCAAAAATTGTTATAAAACTGCCCAAAAAGAACTCAAAGAACCAAATTTCAGAGAATTCGGTCGAAAAATGCGATCAAAACCCCAAAAAGACATATTCGAAAAAATGGACCCATATTTATAATTTTTAGTAGGGATATTTGCTACCAAATAAGAACTAAGTACCAAATTTCACCGAATTCAGTTGAAAAACGCGCTCAAGAACCTCAAAATACCCATGTACCCCATCTTAGAACCTGACATGCCTGCAGACAAACGGCTCTATGCAAAATGTTGGCGATTGGTACTAGTTTTTATAATTAACTATCAGAGGACAATAATCAGCCATAAAGTTTTTATATCTGTTGAATAAGTACTGAGATATAAAGCTTTAAAAAAAGTGTCGAATGGTCCCCAGTATCCCCTATATTGAAATTCAGCCAGGAGGAAGGCTTGGAAATCCTGTTTTTCGCAGCCCGAAAATGGGAATACCTGTGCGAATACTGTATCTAATTCATACTGTGTAAATAGACTCCCATGCGTAAAATACACATTCACATTAAGAAGTTGCCACAACCAAGTATTTTTGTTTTAGTTGTTTTTTTTATAAAAACAACAAACAGTTATTCAGCCTGACTATTTTGCAAAAACAAAATACAAATGGTATCCCAAATAAACCGCCAACGCTACTAAA